AAATCAGTAAGCGGCATCCAAAAATTAAAAGTTGACATCAGAAAATGAAATCAGAAAGTGACGCCTTTAATTAGAAATACCTTTTACTCCTTACTCTTTAGCATACTGTTACTCTGCAGCATATATATTTACCATGACTATGTACAACGGCATATTACTGTAGAATGTGTAGCGACCCTATCGGCTGTACCGCTGCAAGTAACAGTGAACGAATCTTTGACGAAAGCCCTTCAGACGACCTGAATAAGTGACACAATTGGAACGAGTTGTTTTGAAAGAGTCTTGCCTACGTTAGAAAATAACATGAAAGAAATGTTGCTCGCAACATACCCTCTACCCCTTTTTTCAGAGTTCAGTCGAGCTGCCGTACCAGCTACATTAGGCTATTAAATTATTACAGTTCTGTTGCATAATTCTCCAGATTAATTTACACATTTCCAGATATATGCCAATGTACGCTTTTAAGCCCCAAAAAAAATTTGCATTTCTGTAAGAAATTCATTTGAATTATTTTGCATTAATAACTTGATATGCTTCGTACATGCACAGGAACCAGTTAATGAAAGTAAAAACAGCTTCACGGTTTAACGAGCCTTACAGTTAATTCTGCTTTTTTCACACCAAGTTATATTTTAAGCGTGCAAGCAATTTGATAATTAAAACATAAGCGTTTCAAAAAAATTCCTTGGAACAAGCTATCGCCATACCAGTAAGATAAAAGCAGTTAATACTTGTATCTCTAACGCGCGCAAGGACGGACACAGAAGTAAAAAAAGAACGTTTCCTTTAAAAATCGAAAAAACATTTATTTGCTTCGAGAAAGAAATGGAGAACCAATCAATTTGAAGTCACTAAATTGTAAGCGGAACTAATATGGAATTGTATGAAGATGTTTCCAAATTCGCTCGCATCCGCTTTAGTTAAGAAACAAAACGCCGCAATTAGGAGTTAACTCGTTAGATTTCAAACGTTGGGCATCGAAATGTTTGGAACTTGTTTATCGTTCAAGGAAAGGTACCCACTTCCTCTCCAACGTTGAGTCTCAATCGTCACGCTATCCCTTGCATCAACTGCAAAGATGAGTCGCACTCACCATCTTAATTTACATGAACAATGTACATAAGTTATATCAAATGTGCGGGAATCGTTGACCGAGTTGACGATTATATATCAGCCGACTGTTTTCTGAGTAAATTTCAGCAATTGTGGCCCGGGTTATTTTTCTGAGAATTAGATATAAGCGTTATTAGTCGCTTCATATTGTATAAAGTTGTAAAACAGGAGAGGATTGAGCATCCAGTCATCGTGTTACTATTGATTAATCCATTAAGGAGATTTCCAAGAAAGCCAAGAGGCTTTTACATCCACTCGAAGTTGAAAGATGAAATAGAGAGTCGCTCGTAATATTAATAGGTCGGTCGAGCCAAAGATTGTCGAGTCTGATCTCACAAATCGGGAAAAGACAAGAGACATCAGACAACATACTTTTGTCGCACTTGTCTCGAAAAGTCTGAAGAGTTATTTTTATTTTGACTGTATGTGACCATATTCTATTTTTCTTTAAAACAGATATGAACATTATAGCCGGGCACGGCCGACTATTAAATGTCAATAATACCACCAAAGTTACACATCATTTTCACGCGTAGCCATACTTTTCATGAAAATCCGCACATTGCAAGAATCCTTATATGCGGTGGTATCCAAAAAATAGAGCTACGTCATCGAAATTCGGTACAGTTGAGTTGTTCTACACGAATTTTCTATTATGAATTTTCATCATGAAACACTAAAGGTCACTCCTCACTGACTACCCACTCGTTACCCTGCCTTCTGGCGACTGTATGCGAAATAAAATACGTACACGACTTCATATTGATGGCTATCCTTTCCGCTTACCAACCTATAAATAACAACATGCCCGTCGCTATTACTGGAATTCCCACAACAGTAGCGATTAACAAAATTATGTTCGACCAGAATTGAATCTTTTATACCCATCAGCGTTATGCTATCCACATCCACTCTACCAGTTCTTTTATTTGACAACCAAGCCTAATGTAACGAATATGCACAGAAGAAAAAAGTAATCGCCCACGCCGTCACGTCCGTTATATTTAATTTGAAATTGACGCAGTTAGGCTGTCGCATTCTACTCTCCAAGGCCCTTCATTGGAAACCGCATTGATTAGACTGCCAACAAAAAACGAAATCTTTCCTTTATGGTGTTCATCCCATAAGAAATTAAAATTAACATACATAACCACAAATTAACAGACAATATATCTTCTGTAATAAGTATATAATATAAAATAAGTGAAGAAAATAAAAATTTTGATCATTTATAACTTTGCATGGATATGGCCGATTTGCATAAACTTACATCGCTTGATGTAAAGTTTGCGCGGATCTATGTAACACGCAGAAGCACTTAAAATAGATCCATATTTTATTATGCACTCTCTGATCGTCTGCCCGTCTGAAATCTGACTACAGGTAGCAATTTTTGGCATATTTTGATTAAATTTACTACAAAGGCGCAATTCACCCAAGTACGGACGCTATGGAAAATGTTTCCGATCGGTCCAATTTCCGATCACTCCCCATGTAACGCCCTATTTTGAAAAGTCGTTACATTGAAAAAAAATGTAATTTTCAAAATTTCTCGTAAATTTATTTCGTCATTACAATTTGGTGTGAAAACTTGAGACCAGCTCGGGCAATTTTTGAGCCCCCTCTCATAAAACGAAAACCGAAATTCATATAACAAAAAGGTCTAAGGTTTCATTGCTTCATGGTGAAAATCAGATCATTATAATAGTTTAAGGTAAAAAAATTTTACTGTGCCAAATTTGGAGGGTAGACTCGACGTGTTGTTAGGAGCCTCCCCTACATAAACATTTTCACGAACCCATATATAAACCTAATAGGGATTTTCGCGACTGATGTGCTTAAATCGGTTCAGATGGTGATGTTCATGAAGAATATGTACACTTTTGGAGTCTCTGAAGTTTCCTCGCGAGCATTGCAAACGTTTTGACAAAAAAAATATATCCCTTATCTTTCGGTGATGGGTGAACATTGCTAGCTTTTTAGAAAAAAACATGAGCAAATGTCTACAAAAGCTTCATTAGAGTTGAAGAGCTGCAAGTGATTACCAAAATTAAATATTCCGACATATGCTTGCTTGTAACTAATCAAAAATCTACAACGAATCCAAGGATCCGTACAAGAAATATTATTACTCTACACTCATAGAAATGCCAAAATTCCATGTAGACATTACAGATCGTTGAGATGTACGGTATTTAAAATTCGTGATTCTCTTCCTTTTTGAAAAATAAAATGTCTTCTTATTTAATGTTCGCACTTTTCATAGCAAATAGTAATTAACAGTTTTTTTTGCTTTTGTTATTTTACTGTAAGGTACACAAGTGTCAAACGCAAAGCGAAGCAATGAAATCTTGAATGGACTTATATCAAAGACAGTTAGCTGGTTAAACCAGTTATAATAGAAACTTATTGCTGGTCTTCATTAAAATGAAGCGTGGAAAAGGTACTTGGGAACTAAAATTGCGCCAAACAACATTTGCCGCATTAAGATTGTAATGAGCAAAACAAATGTTGACAACAATTATTATAAGTATATAATTATTGATAATTTCAATATCTCTATAATGCGGTTGACTTTCTTTCTTAACATCCATAATTAATGAGCTATTTTAGGGACATTTTCACCGGATTTTAAAGCTAACAAATAATGATTGTAAAGTAATCTGCAAACAGGGCCAAACAAACACACGTGCTATACTGTCATTTAATTTGAAAATCGTTCATATTTAAGAAGAAAAAAAACCGGCATTTTCACGACAAATGAAATTGAAAAAATCAATGAATTATAACAAATGGATGGAAAAAATGATGTATAAAATATTGTAACTAGCAATCCACACCCTAAAAATGGGGAGCATTTTGAAAACTAAAGAAAACAAAATGCAAGTAAAACAACCCTTAAGATTCAATAAACAAATTTAGGGGAACGAGTGGGATACGTATGACTAAGAGCTTAATATGTGGATATGGTAAACGTAATATAAAAACAAGTTAATTAAATGGATTTCATTTTCTTTCAGAGGAGAAAAGAAATCACTTAATAATTGCACGCACACACATATGTAAATAATATAAATTACTTATTTGTTTCACTAAAAATCAGCATTTATTTACAAAGCACTGTAATATTAAATAACGACGGAGTAGGTTCAATAAAACGATAATAAAATAATTTAAAAGAAAAGTTATGAAATTGTGCAAAAGTATAAAGAGTACAGAGGAAGAAGATATGGAATGAAGCAATGATGATAAAGTGCAAAACATTCGTCATAAGCCGAATATAGGTCACCCTTCACCTCTGCAAGAAGTCATGTAGAAAAATGATTAAAATACCCTGGAAACTGTTCGTCGTAGATTTCTTATTGGACTTTGTAACACGAACCTATGCCACTCAGATGCATGCAGCATGTCGACTTCGTATAGTATGTATATAGTGTTAGTCAAGATAAAATTTTAATTCTATTTAGTCATATCCAGCTCATCGTTGATCTGGCCGTCCCCAAATATTCACAAATTAAGTATAGTAAACTGTATGGTCATATGCCGTGGAGGAAACTTGGAAACTTTAAAACGATTAACTATATGTAGTGGGAATAAAAATTCTTTTAACATCAATTTAAAAACATTTCGCCTTGAAGTAGGGTGCACAAAAAAAGCAATTAGGGGATAAAAACAAAATTAGAGAGAAACCTTTTCACATCTATATACATAATGCAAAAAATATATGTGATTGACATATATGTATATATACAAATACATCTAAATTAAATAATAACGACGTGCAGAGATTTAATATAACACTCCCTAGGTGTCATTATAAAATAATTATACCTTATAAGTATATATACATGTAAAAATATGTATAAAGAAAATTTAACATAACTTACCCGAGAAGCCAATATTTAAGCCAATATTTAAGATAAAACTTTTTTTATCAGACGAAAAGCGTCAGGGGGAAATTTTTAAGTTGATTTCCAATGTGACAGGTTCGCCCCTTACGATTATTTTAAAAAGCTCCAATACATGTAAGCTGCATGCGTGTTGTTTTCTTCCTTCCTTCCTTTCCGTTACTTCACAATTACAAACAAACACGCACTGTACAATGCTATTACTACTTAGATGAAGACTTGCAGCATCTTTTCATTTATACCGTATTATATATAAATAAATAAATACATATATATATATATACATAGATATATGTATATGTGGATATATACATATATATAAATGTAAATATATATACATATGTATATATAAATATATATACAAAAATTTTTGTTGCAGATCTGGTTTATAACAAATTTTTCACTTTTTTCTTCACAAACATTCGCAGACACAATCGGACACCGCAATATATCAGTACCCATATAACAACAACAACATTTTAAACTATTTTTGTATTTTATACATGTTAAAAATTTTCACTTTGACATTTATGGGAATTTATTTATTTCGTATAATCAATGGAAAAAGGGAACGTATTTTTATTTAAACACATTTGTATAAAAACCCTACCGCATTCAATTTAATTATTGATTTTTATTCTTCTTTTTCTAATTTTTTTTCTAATATTTCAAGCGAGAGACACTTTTCACTAACTTTTCACGTCTTACTGTAATGACTGTAATGCAAATTAAGTTATTCATACTACGGAAACGTACTTAAGATGGTAAGAAATTTTATGAATAATGCGAGATTTTACAACGCTTCATATATAACTTATATTTGATGACGAAGTTGAGGCGAGTTACCAAATGTTTTAATTATGCTATTATTTTGGGTATTTTATTCCCTGGATAAAAAAAAAAATTAATATCAAAATTATACATATTTGGGAACTTTTTTTTTACTTGAAAAGACGTTTGAATTTGATCAGAATGCATGTATTTGAGATTACAAATAATTGCCATTTTTTTTTTCCTTTTTTTGAAGCCAGCTTTCACGGAACAAAAGTAGAATGAACTTTTATAAAATAACGATTTTTTAAAGAAAGTGATAAATATGTATGATAATCATGTACTCATTTAGTAACAGCCGGAAATGATCCGCTTGATTTCAATGGTTATCGGATGGAGCTTTTGATTTAAAGGGAAATACTTGCATTGAAGTGGTGATTTGTTTATCGAACTGTATTTACAATAAATGTAGAATGTTTTAGCCGCTGAATTTATAATCTTGCATCAAATTGTTTAAAGATATACAAATTCGTAAAGTATTTAGAGATCTCAATTACAACCGTGAATAATATATTTTATTTTTTTTCAGACGAAGGAACATCTTGTGGAAAAGAACATTTGCAAGCACCACCTAAATCGCTTGTTGGCCCAAACCGAAGATTATATAGAGTATTCGCGTAGCGGCAAAGGAATGGAAAAACCAAAAGCTCGTAGTATGTATGAGGATATTTATCTTAGTAATATCTTAGTAATATATAAACTGGGAAAAATGAAAATCTCATATTAATCTCATGTTAATTCTATATATATATATAATATATATTTTTTATATAAATGTATAAAAAATATGCATTCATCTCCCCTTGTACGTCTCCTCAATAGTTTTATACAATTCTTATAGGCGTGGCATTCGATTTTACCCTATTTTCAAAAATAAAATGATAATTCTTTCCATATATTCATACAAGTGCTTGAAATATAATATATAATCTTTTTTATATAAATGTATAAAAAATATGCATTCATCTCCCCTTGTACGTCTCCTCAATAGTTTTATACAATTTTTATAGGCGTGGCATTCGATTTTACCCCATTTTCAAAAATAAAATGATAATGTAGAAAAATGTATTTACTATATATATACCATATTATCATATATATTGTAACGTAAACCACTTTTTTGATTTTGCGTTTTTCTTCACCTCTGGTTTTGGTTTTTACGATATTGTAGTTTTTATTGACAATTTTTAGGAAATCTATTTACAACTTATTGGTAGGAAATTATATTTACAAGGCTTTAATCCTCGTTGAGTCCTTGTCCGCTCGAACATTGCAATCCAAATTTCTTGCCTTCAATCTATTTGCTTCCGTAAATATTCTGCTTATATGCTCTTTTATAAGCAAATTTCCTTTACCTAAATTCATCGCTACATACTTGTTAATTATTGTTAATCTTTTCGCGAGTCGCCGGCCGCATGACGTGGATAACGTGCATTAAATATGTATTTGCTTCTCCCCTTTCCTTAGAATTTGTTTTCTGAGAAAATCGACCAATTTTCATGAAATATGAGATTTTCATAACAGTACGTGCCCATATGCACTCGCAAACAAAAGATTATAGATAGGGCATACAGCAGGGTATAAAACAGCCCAGGGCATAACGTCGCCTCACCTGGGAAAGTTTTTTCGTACTTCTAGCTTCTCTCCCTTGTCCGCTCTCTCTTCAGACATAAACCTTTTTTATATTCTTATTGTAAAATACATGTTCTTTCTATTATCAACATCTCCTATCAATTATGACTTTTCCAATCCATGACAAATTTTTTGGCATTACAAAATGGATATGCCTCACATTCTTTCGTGATAGACATAATCAATGCAAATAGTAATGAAAAAGAATCCAGCAGAATACACGGTTCGATTTTCGATTCGATTGTTTCAAGTCGTGCTATATCGAAACTATTTATAATAATCGCATTGTTTCTGAAATCGTCATTACATACTTGTAGACCTGATGTACAAAATATGATAGTAAATGAGCATAAACAAAATAAAAACCAACATTAAATAAAATAACTACGGTATCACATACTTTAAGATGGAGAGAAAAAGTGAGAATATTATAGTAGGCCAGGGACCAATATTATATGATGGTATAGGAATTCGAGGTAAAAATAGCTGTAGGATGTATATAGAAATCAAAGAATGGTATAAGAATTCGAAGTAAAAATATCTGCAGAATGTATACAAATCAATGGGTGGTATAGGAATTCGAAATAAAAATATCTGCAGAATGTATACAAATCAATGGGTGGCATAGGAATTCGAAGTAGAAATAGCTGCCGAATGTATACAAATAGCTGCAGGATGTATATACAAATCAATGGGTGGTAGAGGATTTCGAAGTAAAAACAGCTGCAGAATGTATACAAATCAGTGGGTGGTATAGGAATTCGAAATAAAAATATCTGCAGAATGTATACAAATAGCTGCAGGATGTATATACAAATCAATGGGTGGTATAGGAATTCGAAGTAAAAACAGCTGCAGAATGTACACAATACGCCAATTCGTTTAATATAGTTATTCACATAAAGACTTTTCAAAACAAGGATTTATATGAGTAGTGATCGAAAAATAATCCGATCCAAACCATTTTCAAAGGCTTTCGTCTTTGGGCCAATGTACCAAAATTGCGATCTGTAAGTTGAACGCAAGAAAACAAAACAGATAGACGCACAGACCAGCTTAGACTAATACAAAAAGTGATCTACAGACGATCGGTACAATAAAAGACGCGTCAACACCTTCTCTACGTATTACATGTATTCGCTAAGACTTTATATAAAAGTGAAGCTCTTGGGGAAAGCCGTTTGCTTCTTGCATAAGTCGTATAAATCGCATCAAAGCTTGGTAATAAAAGTAAAAACAAAAATCTAAATATTATAAATTAAAAAAAGAAATAGATTTATATACTTCGCTTACACAAACTTTGCTCTTTCCATTCCACAGTTGGCTCTCCTTAGGAAATAGATCAATAAATAGAAGCAAGAAAATAGGAAAATTACTCATATTTATTGTAGGACGTCTGAGCTTTAGCGAGGCAGTAAACATCATTTGAAATAAAAACCTCTAAAAATTCGATAAAAAATATACAATAATTAAAATATTTACTTTAACTTATGCTTACATTTTACGAAAAAGTAGGATAAGGACGGTACTGAAGACGAAAGAACAATTAAATTCTGCCTCACCTATGATTTAGAATATAAGATAGTGGTTGAACAACCAGGTGAACATGCTTTTTCCACGACTGATCCCATTTGTCCAAACAAACATTCATCATCATTCTGCAAACGTCATTCAGATCCTAAAGACTCTCCGCCAATTCCGTTTGCGACTAAATATTCGCGATGCGTTAGCAGCAGAAATTGTCTTCCGATTCTGTCCAAAGCACTGCAGCCAAAGCACTTGTACGAGCTTATGCTCATCTACTCATGCTCATGACCAAACTATAGCCTCCGCCCCAATACTTGCGATGGATAACTAAGAACCACATAATCAATTTTGTTCTCATAGACTTTTTGCCAGTTAACTGAAAAGTAAGGCATCATATTTGGAGACTATTATATGATAACTGCGCTTTAGTATATCCTATACTTTCGCTTTTGAGTAAAATCTGAAATCTGTATAAAATAGCGGTCTGTTTTCAGATACACATCTATAAATGGGTCTTCAATCAATTGACTCTCCCATAAAATTGTTGAAATATTTTTTTGTTTTCTCACATAATGAATTTGTTACAATGCTTGCGCTTGAAAATATGCCCATAAGTGTGTAAAATAAGGCTCGCTCCCAACCCTTCCATTCATCCAATTGTTTATGGATTTGGATTGTTCCGAACAAGGTGTTGAGACATTCCTACCGCCCATATGGAAGACATAAGCATCGAATAAATCGAACATTTCCATATGTATATCTCGAAGTATTATAAATATACCGTTTGCCGTGGCATGTGGCATCTAGTAGCTCGCAATGCGGCTCAACACTGTGATTACTCGTAGAGCTTACCTTAAAGCCGACAATCAAATTTTTACTCTGCCATCCTTCACAAACGTGCGCGGTAGCATCAAATTCAGAAATTTTTCTAATGTCGCGTACACGTGCATATTCCACAATCTCTGCAATATCCTTATGCGTGTATATTTTCCTTAATGAGTAAACTCCATATTTGCAAAGTTCGGATCGTGTTTTTATTTCCATTGAAAAACTCTGACCATCAATCAAATGCCAGTGAAATGTATTCAACTTTAACATGGCCATTGCATCTGCAAGAGAACGCAACAACACCGTAATAATGTTTTTCCGGAAAACAAATCCGTGTATCCAATAAGAAGAGTTGTATTCAAAATCTATGAAATTTAATGTAAAAAATGCAAGAGTTAAAATGAGAAATCCTAAGCTATACATGAATTATTTCGAAATGTCAGTTCGCGGAACAAAATTCATTTGAAATCACGAAGAATTAAATACTTTAAATTGGTTTGGTCATCTTTCAAAACATTAATAATTTCCTCACTAATTTTGTCCAAGTATTCTTGCGAAGATTCCTGTTTAAGGCGTTTTAGATGAAAACATATAAAACAGAGCAGCAAGACACGTTCTTCTGTTATATCTTTGCTTTTTCCAAAGAATTTTCGTTTTGTATCTTTAACCTTTTGCTGAGTCTCACTTTTAACTCCCATGACTTCCAAGTTTGTGCTTTTAAAACATTAAACTGTAGAGATTCTGTTCTCAATATTATTTGAGCAAATAATTCAGAAGCTGCTAAATCCAAGTGTTTTTCAAAGTATTGAACCATCTTTGGCATTGAAAAGATATTAAACTGTACATGATGTGCCGTTTGCAGCAAAAATTCTTCAAAAATCTATCGTTAAGCATTTTT